GGATGACGCACACACACACACATAAAGCCAGGGTTCCTTTCAGGGGTCAAAGTGTCGGTGCTGCCGATTCAGGAGTGGCAGAAAGGAGGTATTTTTAGGTTCGGGTGAAGTCGTGTGACTTCGGAACTTCGACATTTTGGACCTGGCTGAAGAGTATGCGCATTCGAGGCGTCGTTTGATACGAAATAATATGTAGGAAATGAGGAGGAAGAGGAGGAGGAAGGAGGAAGGGCGGAGGCCTGTGGAAATAAAAATGAAGTAGGAAATGTAGGTACCGGTCTGAGACCCGGTACCTGGGAGTGAGGACTGTTTGAACTTCCTGGGGTAAAAAAAACAAAACAAAACAAAACAAAACCAAATCTACTCCAGGGCAAAAGAGTGGAGTGACCATGTATGACCAGCAGGGGCATTTACCACCCGGATGGTGTAATTACACACAGTTTTTAACGCATCCATTTGATGAGATCAGTCATCGTGTTGTTTACAGCGGTGTGTGTTCGGGTCAGTGACGTCAGCGGCGGCTCGGTTTTTCGCTGGACTCGAATCTTTCCTCAGGAATGAGGTGATGACAGGCGTCCACGCGGGCTTTGAATTTAGTGACGTGACTTTGACAAGTGAAAACCACATTCCACATTCAAATCAGAACCACACACACACACACACACACACACGCACTGACGACAAATCACGGCAGCAGATAACTCTCCGGCGGAAGTGTGTGAGACTGAAAGTTTCAATACGATCACAGTTCTGGGTAATAAATTGGGAAATATTGCGGCAATTACTCTTGGGCCAGGAAGCGCGCTCACGCGCGGGCACGTCGCTGATTTACCCCAACAGTGTGTGTGTGTGTGTGTGTGTGTGGTCGTGTTATTTTCACCACTTCCACTGTTTTAATAGTGTTTTAATGGAGACGTGAAGAGATGTGTGTGCACCTGAATGGGGGGCGGGGGGAGGGGGGGCACCGTGACGTCACATCTGAAAGATTTCACTCTCGTTGTCTGCGGTGTTCACTTCGGTTTGTTTCGGGGCCGATCGCTGCACTTCAGGCCATCTTGTGTTTTTACGGCCGGGGCTTCACCTCCTCTTCAACCTTTCCCCCCGCGTGCCAAAAAAAAAAAAAAAAGGACTCGAACCTCCCTCCGCCCCTCGGCTCCAAACGGCCAGGCAGGACCGCGGCCGTATGGAGAACAGGGCGAAAACGACAATTAAACACCCCGACCGAGGATGAGGCGTTTACGGCCTCCGGTCGCGCGAAAGGGCGCGTCGTAAAGAGAAGAGCCCCGGCCTGTGGTGCTGCTCTGCCGGGGGGACGTAAACAAGCAAACACGGCGCCCCCCCCCCTCCACTTTATGGAGCCTCTTTGTTTGTTAACGCGTTTACAGCCACTTTGTCCTGGAATATTACCCCCCCCCTCCCTCCCTCCCTCCCAGCCTCCCACTCCCCCAGTCCTCCTCACGGGTTTATGGCATTGCATTTATGGGAGTTTATCATGATCAGCTGTCCAGGAGCAGCTAATGAATGGAACAGAGAGAGGGGAGGGGGGGAGGTGGGTGATGTTGGGGGGAGGGTCTGTTTTGATCTTTAATACATTTGTGAATAAATGCACTTGTTAAAGTCAGCATCACTGAGGGTCTAGCCTCCCCTCTCTCACCCTCCTCACCCCTCATGTCAGTTGACATTTTCGGGCCTCATTCCCGCCGAGCTCCGCCGTCGACTCCTCCAGGAGGTGAGGGGGAGAAAAGAGAGAGGGGAGGAGGAGGAAGGGGGAGAAATGAGATGTAGAGATCAGATGAAGATTCTCTGTTTGGGTTTTGAAAAGTTATTGTTGTTTTTTTTTTTTTTTACTTTCATTAAACCTCACACTCTCACTGCTCCTCCTCACCCCTCACCTCCTCAGTTCTTTCATTTTCCCTCCCCCCTCCTCCTCCCCCTCTCCCCCTCCTCATCCTTCACTGTGGAGCTCGTGCACCGACGCCAGGAGAACATCATCCACACATGCGTGTTCACATGCAGGCTCGTGTGTGGCCAGAGGCGTACAACAACAAAAAAAAAAAAAAAGAAAAGAAAAAAAGGAAGGAAATAAAAAATAATAAATAAATAAATAAAAGTGTAATGGGATTTTCGTGCAGGCGCGTGCTCGTCTGTGTGTGCGCGCGCAGGAAAAGCCAATGGGATGAAGAGCTGATAATAGATGCAAATTATCCCTGAAACACACACATACACACATACACACATGTACATACACACACACACACACAAGGGCCAGGAGGAGAGGGATGGGGGGGGGGCGCCAGAGAGACGAATAGAGAACGAGAGAGCGAGAGAGAGAGAGAGGGAGAGAGAGAGAGAGAGAGAGAGGGAGCGAGAGGGGAGAAAAAATATGAAACAACTCATTTGCAGAGGAGTAAATCACGGAAAAGCCGTTTGAGACACGACAGACTCCGCTTACAGCGCGAACACCGGAATTGTGATGCGCAGGAGCTCTTCCTCCTCTGCTCCTTCTTCTCCTTCTTTTTATTCTTCCTCCCGTTCTCCTCCTTCCTCTCCCTTCCTTGTTTCCTCGTTGGAGGATTTATGGAATTGTTGTGATTCTTCTCCTTCTTCTTCTCCTTCTTCTTCTTTTCCTCCTTCTCCTCCTCCTCTTCGTCACTGTTGTTGTTATTGTTGTGGCGGTGCTGGTCGAGGCGCTGGTGCTGCGGCTCCGCCTGCACTGGCCGCCTGCAGTTACCGTTACTGACACCGCGACCGGCTCGTCTGCCGTGGCCGTGAGTTGGAGAGGGGGGGCACCACAACATCGGTGACCGACACCGGCGGCGGACCTGCCTGACTTTTCTGCCTCCCTCTCTCTCTCTCTCGCTCTCTCTCTCTCGCTCTCTGAGTCTGTCTTTAAGCGCAGAAAAACAGAACTAAAAAGCTGCGGGTCGCTCCCTCCAGGCGGCACCCGAACTGACAACAAAACAAACAAACAGACAGACAAACAAACAAACAAACACCGCAGAAACGGAAGATGAGTTCCTACTTCGTCAACTCGCTTTTCTCCAAGTACAAAAGCGGGGACTCGTTACGTCCGAACTACTACGAATGCGGCTTCGCACAGGACCTGGCCGGCAGCCGGCCCACCGTGGTGTACGGCCCGGGCTCCGGCGCCACCTTCCAGCACGCTCCGCAGATCCAGGACTTCTACCACCACAGCGCCTCCACGCTGCCCAGCAACCCCTACCAACAGAGCCCCTGCGCGGTCACATGCCACGGCGAGCCGGGCAACTTCTACGGATACGACGCCCTGCAGCGACAGACCCTTTTCGGGGCCCAGGACGCGGATCTGGTCCAGTACAGCGACTGTAAGCTCGGCGGAGCCGCGGGACTGGGCGGCGAGGACGCGGAGGGAACCGAGCAGAGCCCGTCCCCGACGCAGCTGTTCCCCTGGATGAGGCCGCAAGGTGAGGAAATAAAGAGAGCCGGTGTGTCCCCCCCCCACACACACTTCTGCCTTTTTTTGGGTAAATAATCTTTAGAGCAGAGAGCTGTGTGTCCGCAGCCGAGGGACGAGTGACTCGGAGCGGACAGAAAATGCCGGAGTGTGAGGCAGAGGTGAGGGGCAAAAGTTGAAGAACGCTGGGTTTTTTTTTTTAAAGGGGGCAGTTAGCGTTCAGAGGGGGAGACAAAAGCGCGTTTATGGTTTTATTGGCTTCACCAAAACTTGTGAATGACTTTAAGGTTTAATTGCACCGGTCATATACCACCACCACCGCCGCCGCCGGGGGAATCGACGCGGTGATCCAGGAGCGAGGGGGGAGACAGGGAGGGAGACAGGCAGAGGGAAGCCGTGGAAAAACAGTAGAAGGGATGTTGGAGGGGCAGAACTGAACTCCTTTATGAGGAAAATCTACCCCCCCCCCCCATTTACACACACCCTAAAACCCTGGGACAGTGCAGCTCAGACGGGACCGCGGCCTGATTTACGTCCGTGTCCGGACTCTGAGACTCGGGTTAAACTTTGACTGTTTTTTTTCTTTCCTCCCGCTTTTACGACTCGCCTGTCAGGTCTGCAGGACTGTTTGACTTCCACGGTGGTCAGTTCTCCCACAGGCTTACAACAGGAATGAGTGTGTGTGTGTGTGTGTGTGTGTTCTGTATGAAAAAGATCTCCATTATCCCGGTCTCACGCTCCGTGTCTGCGCTGCTGTTTGGCTTTTGCCTTTTTTATTGTGTGCATATATAGGTAGATCTATATATATGTGTGTATGTGTGTGTTTTATGTACTCACACACACACATACACACAGTGGTCGTATGGACCAGGCCCAGTTAGTTTAAATCTTTGCGGTGATAAATCACAGGCTGAGGATTTAAAAAAAATAGTGTTGGTTTTAGAAATTATTTGCATTGTGGGGACATGAGGTTTATGGCTGATGGCTTAGAGCAATAGGACAATAAAACTGATTATGAGAGAGGGGGAGGCAGAGGGGGGAGGGAGGGGGGAAGGTAGAGAGGTACAGAGAGAGAGAGAGGGAGAGAGAGAGTCAATGGATTGACATGTATAGTAGCCTATTTTGTTTGAGCCCATATTTCTTGTTGTGTGAGTGAAGAGAGAGAGAGAGGGGGGAGAGAGGGAGAGAGAGAGGGTTTATCACCCATGTTCATGACTGTGTGTTATATTTTATTTGATTTTATTCTGAAGTGTACTGCAGACAGGTACTTCATCCTGGGAGGACTATTTTTTTTCTTCTTCTTCAGATTTTCCGACTCTGATCATAAAATATAAACATCACTGACACGTTCGACTTTAACGGTTTAAACACGTCCAGAACCGCCACCTGGACAGGAGTCCGTTTTCAGTGTAAAACACCTCGGACTCAGGTCCGGACCGGCAGCTGTGGTTCGGTTCTGATCAGATCCCTCCGCTGCCTGTAAATCGTCGCCACTTAAATGTTTAAAGTCGTTTCATAAACTGCACGTTTTTCCGCCGCCACTCGACTCCTCTCTCCCAC